TTACCCTGTACATTTCCTTCATTGCACGGATTAGAACTGTATTTAAATTCCTTCTTGTTAATTTTTCAGTAGTTATCTGTCTTACCTGTTAGAAGGTAAATTATGTAAGAACAGAAACTATGACTCTGGTTTATCTTTGTATGTTAGATACTGGGAATTTAAGGAGTCTCTCCATTAAGTACTTTGTATGTATTAGTTAAGTACTTGGTATATATTAGTCAACATCCTTTTCACCATCATTTGTACCTTTCCGGTTTGGTCTGATTTTTCCAATGTGGGTATTCCAATCAAACCTACACACATCTGCTTTATTTGAATACCCACCAACCTACCAACCATCAGCACTTTATAGGGTCACCTTTTATTATCACCTGTCCTATATATAGGAGTAAAATTGGTTTCCCTTTAGACACAAGCTCCAGGACAAGGACTCTCTCAAGGTAATCTCTATGTTCTGGTACCTAGGCTTGTGCTCAACACCCTCTAGCCCTTTATAAATCCTTAGGATCTTGTGATTGCAAACAAAGACACTAATAATTCTTGCATCTGCTCTACAGATGAAATTGCTATATTTGTTCAATAAGCAGTTTCTCCAATAAATTTAGTAAAGGGAAATAAAAGCCTTTCTTCATATATTCTGGTCTTGTTCATTTCAGACGTCCTTTTAAATGCTTCCAAACATGTTATTTTCCTACATTAAGCAAGCTCGGTCCAATTAGAAGAAATGAGAACAGCAGCCTACACCAAAATCACCCCAGAATAAATGCACATTCCGTTTAAGCTCCCATCCCCCTACTTTCTTGTACAATGAGAACGATGATAAATTAAGGATTCCCACTCTAGGGATAAATGGTTCCGCTGCTGTTTTGAGCTCCCTATAACCTTCAGCATGCAACATTCTTCCTATTTAAAATTCTCATGGGAGCCTGTTGAAAAAGCCCAGGACTTTGAACCCCATAGGACAGTGACAGTGGCTTCAGGTGTCAGCTTGAGGAGGGCTGGTAGCCTCCCACACACCCATCCCAGTTGCTACACCTGTTTTCACCAACCGCTGGCACCTGCATCCCTTATTTTGCCAAGTGTGCCATGTGATCATGTTTGCCCGTTTTCTCTAATTACTCAGTGATCCCATTCACTTTGGGACTCTGAAACCATCTAAAATGGACCAGGGCTTACTGAATCATTAATACCAAAACTTCCCAGGGTAGATTTCAAAATGTGAGCATGGTTTCCAGCAATGTCTGCACTGATTCTGAAAATCAATGTGAAATTGAATATTTATGTTCATGAGACATTTTTCATGAACACTGATAGCCTAGAAGCAACGGGTGATTACTGCTCACACAGCCAATGCAGAGGGCTTTCAGTCACTAAATGAATTCACCGCAATGTTTACTGAGCAATGTAAATATGACAAATATTCTCAGAATCTAAGCTGAGTAGCTGAGATTTGGACCAAAAATGGCAGAAAAGGGATACAAGTGGAAAAAATATATAAATTCAGTTCACTCTCATAGATGGTTTATTGGAACTTTATAGAGTTTTCAAAAGGACTTGACAGATTTTAACAAGAGTGAGTAAAGAGAAAATGGCTTAAAAGATGTCATCAATCTTTTATTTAACTAAGCATTGCCCTTCATTTTGAAGGAAATGATACAATTTCAAATGAGAACCTCCTTCTCAAGAAGTGGTATGAGGACAAAACATTGGTTTAACATACAATCTTCAACAAAAATAAAGTTTACACAACTCACTGGGAAACAAAATACACGTGGGACCTATATTAGTCAACGTAATTCTCCATGGGTCACGAGTATTATAACTAAGAATGAAACAATATAATGAAAAGTTGAATAAACTAGTCAGGTTTATAGTCACCCTGATTTAAAAAAAAAAATACCTCTCAAATAAATTGTAACTTTCTAAACAAATCCATTCAATGACCATGATTACATGAGATTTTATATTAATGTATAAAAAAGTTAGACAATCACATTAATATCAAGAGTCTTCAACACAGTGGATTCCATTTTAAGAAAAAAATAGAAAACAAGTAGTCCTTAAATTTTCTTCACTCTTCATAACATGTCATATAAAATTAAAGTTCTGCTTCCAAAAATATGTTTCCATGTGGTTGTGGAGCTGTCCAATGGTGCTTTTAGGGCCACAAGCACCAAAGACATGAGAAGTTTAACCACTAAAGTGTCATTTTTCATAAAAACTAACAATTTCCTTAAAGGTCTGGAATAAAGTCTTCTGCTAGGCATTTTAGTGCTATAAAGTCACTTTAAATTAAACGTAGACTAAAAGCTACAAAAAGTATGAGTTCTCTCAATACGAAAAGTCATGTAGCTGAAGTTGTGGGCTCCTTTGACATACATAAGCAGTCTCAATAAAATATCTGCTTGAGTAAGAAAATAGAATTTGATTACATTTAGCATATGTTCCAGTCAGGTATCCTGCTTTTTATCCCTGCCACAGATTCTGAAGAACGTTAGAACCAGTATTTCTTTCCTTCAAAGAACATCCGTAATTCACAGTACAAAATAGTTCTAAAGTTTTATTCCTAGAGAGAAACAAAAATTATTAAACGTGTTTATTTTTCTTTTTAAGTGCCAGATGTAGCCATTGCTTGGGCATTAAAAACTCACTTATCCACAACACTGCTGTTTTGAGGAAAGAGCCAAGAGTTGAATGAATTCCCATTGAAGCTTCCACTGGTTGACTGTTCCTCTAAGTGTTTTAACCCTAAGAAAGCTTCCAATGGAATCACTGTGCCCAAGTATTACAGATTTCTCATCTCTGGTCCCCTGGTAAAACACTGGCATTCCATGGGAAAGCAGTATCTGGAGTAGATCTAGTTCCTCTTCTGTTATCAAAAACCTCTTCTCTAGAGGCAGAATGCTACTATTAGTGTGGATTTCACAGGAGCTCTTCCTTCAGGTTGAGACTTCCTACAAAAAGCAGTTTTTCTGTAACAACTGACAGAGAAGAGGGAGTGGAAAAAAGCTGGCTGGCCAGCCCACAGCTGCCAGAGCATTTTTCTGTTTCTGTTCTTCCCTCCTGCCATCTCCTCACTGGTCATTACTTTCAGCTTTCACTATGCATTGAGCATAAAAGAAAATCCCAATCTGGTAGGTATAGCAGGATCTCTTAATTACCCGTATCTGGCTCCACTTTTCCACGAGCAAGAAAATATAAACACAAAAGCTGTGAGATTATTAAACATGGAAACTAGATCTACACTTCCAACAACAGACTGACATCTCTCCCAAATCCCAGACTAAGATTAAGTGTGGTTCATCTTTTAATAGTCAAAGTGATAGGACTTGTTTGTTGTTCCCTGTAAAAGCTGGGAACATAACTAAGAACCTTGTAACTAATTTATTTCATGCTGAGGTGCTATGATGGGGTAGGCTTTTAAAACTTATGGCCTCAACTTCCCAAATCTGAAAAAAAGTACACAAGGAAATGCTTTTAAGTCCTGTTGCCTTGACGTAGAGAAGGCCCGAGGAGGACCACGGCTGTAGAACACTCGAAGTTTGATTCTACTCCAGCTGTGAGAATTAGGTCACAAAACAACAGTGTAATCTATAATGACTCCCAAGAAAAACTTTACTCAACTTTTGAAACACCATTATCAGTGCCTTGGGGCAGCAGAGAAGCATTCCAAAATTGAGGGCATGCGTCATTAGAGTTCACATGAACACAGGGGACAAACTAAAATTTTTCAAAGCCTCAGAATAAAGCCAACGGTACTTCAGCAGCAGATCCAGGTAGAATCAGCCAGCCTGCTACCCACAGATACCACCATCACCAACCTGTGCTTTAGGACTGTACCAGATTTGTTGCTGACTACACAAAGTGGCCTTTGTGGCTGCTGCATCCCCCTTAATTAAGAAAGCATTCTTAAGGGATGTTCTCCAGGCAACAGGGAGCCTGCTGCAACAGAACAAGGCTTTGCATCTCGAATCAAATTGCATCAGTTGTGGCTAGCAAAATAAATACGTTGTCATTGAAATATGTCTCAAGCCTAAGATTTTACCAGCAGCAGAACAGAAGTGCGAGTAAGGGGAAAAAAATTCCCAGGCCCACCACCAAAGCCTTACACTTTAAAAAGATTACCTTTACTGACAAGGAAGGGCGTTAGGTGAGGAGAGGGAGAGGAGACTGACTACCTCCTTCCAGGGCAACCTTGTTTAGCTGCTTCTGTAGTGGATGCTTTATGGGGTGGCACCAGACAACCCCACGTGTGACCTGCAGATGAGCACAGCCCAGCAGGTTTAATTAGATCACAGACACAAAGGGCTATTCCCTCGTTTGATAACAAACTACGCAGCTTTAAGTGCCTACACTAGCAGGCGAGAAACAAAGGAAGCAAAACAGAACCACAATTGAATCCTTCCCCTAGCCAGCCCGAGACAATGATTTACTTGTAACCTGGGAAGTGGCGGGTGGAGCAGATTCAGCTAGACACCAGCTCCTGAGGAGGAATTACTCGGAGATGGGAAGGAGGGAGGTAGCAAAGTCTTTGTTTTGTAGCACAAGTTTACTCAACTATTCGTTCGTTACACTTCATGGGGGTTGCTTGGTTTCGGTCTGCTGCTCCCAGACCTAGTCCTGGTTTCCCCAGCTTTTCACCCCAGGAATCTCATAATCTCATAAATCATTCTGCCTCCTGCATCCCACACACAGCTCCACGGGGGTAGCAGATAAGGACTCTGTGCTGGCCAGACGCTGCCACAAATCCACTTGCTGTCACAAACCTACTCTGGCCTTAGCCAGGGCATCCTCCAAGCCCATGGCCCGAGCGCAGGAGAGGCAATGGCAGGCGGTTGGTACTCCAAACTTTCTCCACCCCCACGTGCATAAAGAAGGGTCCATTTTGGACCCAGGTCCAGCAGGGATAAAGTGTCAAGCCAGTCCACAGTTTGCCCCATCGGGGAAACACAGACAGATTGGGCGGGAAGGCAGGAAGTGCCTCCAATCGAAGTTCCTACCTGCTCCCTCTTCCTCCTCCGTCCAGGATAACAAGCTCAAGTCACAGCTGGAAGCACACTTCGCCAACATTCCTTTTTTCCAAATGGCCCAGGAACCCAGATGGGGCCCAGAAGGTGGTGGAGGAGGGAGTCAGAGGGAGGGGGCAGCGGCTGCCGCAAAGAGCGCACTTTCACAGCTCTGCACCTCGGCTTCCGTGTCAGTGCACCACCGACTCTCGGCCCTCCTCCTCTCGGCCGGCCGCAGGGTGGCGCCCGGGAGGCGGCGTAGTCCGCGCGGCGTCGCTGCCGCCCTCGTCCGGCTCGGCGGGGTGCAGGTGCGTGGCGAGCTCCTGCAGCACAGCTGCACGCCCGATCTGGTCATTGCGCCGCTTCTCCATGATCAGGTCCTCCAGGCTCTGGAACTCGAGCGTGTGGCTGCGCTGTGCGGAGAGCTGGATCTGCAGCCGATAAGGCTGCTTGCCGATGCGCAGCTCGCCGCCGATCTTGAACTCGCGCTTGCCATAGCGGCACCAGGCGGCGAAGCTCTCGGAGTTGCGCCAACTCAGCTCGCGCTCCTTGGCGCCCACGTGGGCCAGCGCGTTACGCACCACGGTGCCGGGGCTCAGCGGCTTGTAGCGATACAGATCGTTCACCACGCGGCCACGTCGGCCCTGACTCGCGTCCGTCAGGAAGCTGTTGCTCACCTCCAGCCGGTGCAAGTGCACCACTTGGAAGTTGCCCACATATACAGCCCAGTGCGGGTACTGCGCCTGCGACACAAACTCCACCAGGTCGCCAGGCCTGCACTTGTTGAGCAGGTTCTCGGGCGTGTAGGTGCTCAGCGCCGCGGAGCCCGGCGCGAAGCTTTTCTGGTAGATGCACTCATCGCGGTAGAACACGGAGCACTCCACCTCGTGCAGCCGCGGGTCGTAGAGCTGCGGCGCGGGCAGCGGCGGCCCGTCCCCGCTGTCGGGCAAACCGCCGCCGCCATCGGGTCCCTGGGGCGGCGGGGCCTCCACGTCCTCGTCGTCGTTGGAGAAGATGTAGGAGACGCCGATGCGAGGCCCGTCGTCCCGGTCCACGCCGGTAGGGTCGGCTGTGGGAACTTCCTTGTAACTTAGGTGGGTCAGTTTCTCCACCTGGTTACCCATCACGCTGCGGACACGCGGTCACACCGCCGAGAGGGGAGAAAGTGAAACCACTACTCGGGTCATTGGCGCGGGACCCCGGACAGGGGCTGATACCACCTGTTGGGAGTGGAAAACAAGGAAGCCATGTAGGAATCCCTCCGTGAAAGGACAATTGTTAGGAGGAAGAAAGGTGGGAGGCCGGGCACCTAGGGCCACCTCACAGGGCATCTGGGACATACCGACCCTTCCCTTATTTCTCCCCCTCCAGGGCCGCGGTCACAGGAGACCGGCTCCCCCCTCCGCTACCCTCCTTCCAGGCTTTTACCTCACTCAGGCAAAGCCCATTGCATCAGCAGCTCCTTCTGCTTCCGCCAGCGCCTTACCTGCCTAGACTAGGCGGGGGGGGGGGGGGGGGGGAGAGTAAGAGAAACTAACTTTACTTCACCCCCATCCCAACTCCCCTTTCATCCCAAGGCCCTAACTTAGCCCCTGGGACGCCCCCCACGCCTCCATCCTCTGGGGAACCCGCGAGGAACCCCAAACGGCGCCAGGGAAGGTGAGCCTCCCTACCTGGCTCACCTGCAGCGCCGTCTCCTCCGGCCTCGCCCGCCCTTCCCCCGCGCGTGCCCTCTAGCTCGGGTTACCTGCGAAAACTCAGCCGCCGGGAGGTGGAGGCCGTGGGGAATTGCGAGGGACACCCCCGCCGCCCCTTGAGACTTCTAGGGCGAGTTTGCCGGTGTGAGATCCGCAGTCCCTCCTCTCCCCGCGCGGGCGGCAACGAGGCTGGGCAGGGGGCGGCCACGCATGTCTTGCCCCCGCGGTTACGTAGCGCCTCAGCCTCAAGAGTTGACGGTGGGGGGCAATGCCTGTTCACACAGCACCCCCTACCTCCTGCTGGGGCTGCTGCTCCCCCTCAACCTGCCCTCGGGGGAGGTGGGGTGCGAGAACGGGGTGCAGGAGGCAGCTTCGCTACCCGGCGGCGGCAGCTCCAGCTCGGACTCGGCGAGCAACAAGCGCCGGAACGGGAGGGAGGGGATTGTAGATCCGGCTCCAGGCGCCCCGGGAGAGAGCGCAGCCCCTGGCATTTAAAGAGACAGGCGCGTGCTCCCGGAGCCCGGGTCTTACCCGCCCCGCGCAGAGCCTCCGGGATCCCCGCCCTCTCCCCGCCCACCCGGGCCATGGGGCTCCGCCCAGACCACGCCCACGCCCCGGAGCGGGTTTAAATTCCGTGGTAAATAGCTTACCCGCAGGCAGGGTTGTCACTCCCGGCGCGGGCTTGCACGCTGGCCGCTGGAGCCATTGCTTGTCTTAGAGCGCGGGCTGGCTGTGGGCTTGTCGCTGCTTGGCCAGTTCGTATTTTTCCGAGCTGTGGGCTTTAAAAAGAAGTTGGAAGGCAAACGCCACCTACCAGTGTAGAGATGAGAGAGGAAAGAAGAGTTTGTGTTTGTTCCGTTTCCCTTCGCTGCTGCTTTCAACCTGGAGAGGCAGGAACAGTCATTTTTCTGTCCTAGATCGCATTTCTTGCCAGAGGTCACAAAAAAGGTTTTTTAGTGGGACAGCTTTAGAAGTGCTTCAGTTTTACAGATATTTCCAGAATGAGTACTGTGAAACTTTAGTGTAGAAAAAAAATTTTTTTTTCACGGAAAGAAAATAGTATAAAACAGAATGAAGACTTCGTTGCTGGCTTCCTTCCAAGACCGGCGCGCTATTTTTTAGATATCCTAGGAGTTAGCACAAAGTTGACCTCATAAGCTCCACTGTTGTTTTGAGTTACCAGTCCTTCAGGTAATGAGAGAAAGCATTCAGTTCTGGTTGTTGTTTTGCGGGGTGGGGTGGGTAGGGGATGTAGGAATTGCCTAATTGTCCTTAAATTAAGAACAAATTAGTAGAGGCCCCTGGTGGATATATTTCCTTCCTGCTGATTAATAGAAGGAAGTGACTATTGCCTATTAACCTCCACCCCAAAGGGACACTGCCTCCCTCCCCTCTGCTAGTTTCGGTTTTCTGTGCCTAAGATGTAGGCTACCAAAGTGTCCTTTGTTTTTAAAAAAGTACAGTGGCTCGTAGTGGGGGTGGAGCGTTAACAACCGACATATTTCCGCATTCACTGAAGACCCAAACTAATTCCTGGTGGAATTAAGAATGCAACCCAAGATCTGATCTACCCTGTTTTCCATCACTGCTTCTTTTGACTAAATTTTTCCAGGTAACACTATTACTTATTCAATGTGCATACCAACAGGCAGAGACAGAAATATACTAACACTACTGTGATCCCTTTTAGTTTGAAAAAAAAAGAAAATCAATCTACTTAGGTACCTTTGAGCCCAAACAATCAATATTGGCAGGGCTAAGATGGAAGTTAGTCCTTCAGCAAGCCTAAGATCACAGAATAAGTTAGACCAAAAAGAGACTTCTGTGTACCTGCTGTGCAGATTAAATGTAAGTATTTTCTGATCAGCCTCAGGCGCTTGTGACCACATGAGTCTCCCCTGGGACTTTTTGTTAACATGCTCTGGGGGCTGAATGGTATTTGTCACTACTATGTAGCTCATGTAGGTTCCTATTTTATGGGGAGGAATGAGGCTTAGAGGGTCAATGGCTAGTCATTCCATGTCTGTTAAACTGGAAACCTCTGCTACTGCAAGCCACAGTAGGCCACTTTGCCCCGAAGTGGTAACCAATAGTATGACTGGCCATGGGAGAATCTGTACAAGGACACAGTAGTATGACTTTGGGGCAAAATCTATTGAGGAAGGAAATGACACCTAGTTGTCTAGGTATTTGTTGTATCATCTTGATGTGCTCTGTTCAAGTAAGCAACAGGGGCTCAGTGATTCTTGAACTGACCATCTATAAAGTCTCACAGTAAACAGGCTGAGTCATCTTTATAGCCCTAGCCTGGCCCTTAGTAAATCCTCGATAAATAGTTAATGGATGCTTTAGGGGAATTCTTGGCCATTTTGATGGCTGCCTCCTATGTATCTTCTTGTATTAATGCCTGTTTAGGGCCTAACCTCCATCTGATCACCTAGAGTTCTTGGTCAGAAGTTAAAGAATTGCTCCCAAACATGATGTGTTCATCTCAAATAATGGCTTAATAAATTTATATTAGCTGCCATCAATTTGGAGACTTGGGAAATCTCACAGATTTGAGAAGACTAACTATATGAAACCATCAAGCCCACATTCCAGGATGGTAACCAATAGCTAGAGCTGAGCAGTGGGTACCTTGGAGATGAGATGTAGTCTCCACTTGGCCCCAGTCCCTGTCCTACCCACTGCACTGCCTAGTTCCTTGGCTGGCCCTGGGAGCCTCCACGTTGGCCACCTCTGCCAGCCAGTTTCCACACTACACATTGTATCACTTGACTACATGTAATTCAGCTCTTGATTATATATCATCTGGTATATTCTTAAATTCATATATTTAACACTTCTAGAGAGAGCTTGATTCAAAGCCTATTTCTTGAAGACTGACTATATCTGCTAGTCTTATGCACCACACATTCATTCTATCAGTACAACAAGCACTAGGGTCTGCAGATAGTTATGTCCCCATGGAGCTCAGTATAGTAGGGAAGACAGAGAAGTAAGTAGACTCCTTAGGAGAATATGATATCCTGCAGGAAGGGAAATAGAAGATGCGAGGAGAAGTTTCAAGGCATGTGTACACGAAGGCAAAAGTCAAAGTCCATCATGGTCTTGGACTTCTGGGGGTGACATGATTCTAATGTGGATAATGACAACTACCACTGAGTGAATCATGATTCTGTTATTAAGGAGAATTACACTTAGAGAAGCTAAGTGATTTCTCTCAGCTGGTAAGAAGGACAGTCTCACGGGTCTGCTTGACTTCAAAACCTGTGCTCATCATCACTTTGTTTTGAACAGAGATAAACAAGTCTTCATGATTCGACAAATACTTGAGTGTCCGGTGTTACTGAGCTCCAGAGATAAAGCCGCAGACACAGTAGACAAAGTCCTTTCTCATATGGCATTTATATGTTGATGGGAGGAGACAAGGAAGTAAATGAGTACAAATTTCTGAGAGATAAGGGCCACGAAGACAAAAATATAGGATAATGGGACTGAGTGTCACTACAAAGAGGGTATTGGGGAAGTGGCCTACTTTGGATGAGGTCATAGATGGACTTCTGAGGAATCGGACCTTGAGCTGCGGCGGGAATGATGAGGGGGAGCCGGCTCCCTCAGCAGGGAAACCAGGAGCAAAGGTCTGAGGTGGGAGAGAGTTGGGACATTCAGGAAAAAGGAAAAAATACGGTTGCAGCTGCAGAGGGGCTTGGCTAGGGGGTGCATTCAGGGAGGTGGGGAGGCTTTGGGGTTTAAGGTTATCACCAGCTGCCCTGTGGGAAATGAAATGCAAGGACGAGAGACGCAGCAGGTCCCACGGAGGGCCAGACTGTGGGGAGGAGAGGCATTGCACACAGGTGGAGCCTGGTGAGAAAAGGATAAAGCCCATGAAGGCACCTTCCCCAGGAGAAGCCGCTCTGCAAAGCAGTGTTAGTTGGATTTGAAATCTCAGCCATTACTGTAGCTTTGTCGCCCCGCAACCCCACAGCACAGACCCAAGTGTCACATCCCACACACCTCTGCAGAGGAGGCACTCGATAAAAACAGGTTGTGTTGAATGCCAGTTAGTCCTTCTCGCAGTATTCCTGTCCAGAGCAGTAGGGTATAATGGAGAATTGACGTTTCTACCTGACAAGGCATCTGCCCTGGCTCTGCAGGTGTTGTACAGAGCTCAGTTTAAATGGCTTGCTTCAAGAATGTACAGAACAGGAGCACGAGGGCAGAATTACCTGATTAGGCAGTCTGGAACTCGGCCTGTTCCCTGGGCTGGGCCCCAGGCTCATGGCAGCAGCCGACAGCTGAATGAGTTTGCTGGAAAACAGGTTCCTCCACGCTTCGCTTATACTGGGAAACTTCCTGGCTTACCTGTACCTGTTACACTCTCTGAGGTGTTACTGAGACCTGAGGAGGTGAGCCTTAGCAGAATGGAAAGAGGTGACCCTGGGTGGAGTTCTGTTTGCCAAGGGTATGACTTTGGGGCCATTTCTTCTCCACTCGGCCTTCTTTCCTAATCTCTAAAGTGGAGCTCATAATACTACTTGCCTCATTTGTGAACCCTCAAATGAGACAGTGTATGTGGAAGCACCTTGCAAATCCTACAGGCTGTGTAGATGCCAGGCATTATTTACACACTGTGTAACAAACAGATGATGATTTTAATATGGGGAACAAAGGGATAACCATTTGTTGTGGGCAGGTATTGTAAAATCTCTATACCAGTGCTGTTTTTTACATATAGCAAATAAGAATACAAAGGTCCAGGGATATGAATCTTGGTGATTGTAAGTGGGAGAAGCAGGGTTCAAATCTAAATCTGGCTGGCTCCCCCTCTACTTTTCACACTGTCAGGCTGCCCCAGGGCACCAGAATATGTGTTCATCGAGACGCTGACCAGTCTAAGGATCAGGGTGTGATGGAGAATGATCAACCTGTCCTGGTTTGACTGGAACCATTGTGGTTTAGGCACAGGAAGCCCCATGTCCTAGGCAAATGGGGAGAGTAGGCCACCCTAGCTGGATGCCTCCCTGTCCTGGTCATTGCCTTTCCTGAACCAAGGGCTTTCATGGACATGGTGCTAGGGATGCAGCAGGCAGAGCAGCAGAGGCAGAGGGGAGCAGGGAGGCTCAGGGGTTTCAGTCCAGACCTCACTCTAACAAAGGGCCCCCATTTCCACACAAAGTTATACATACAGAGCAGCTGCATAAGCAGGGCCACCCAATAAAAGAGACAGTAAGTCTTATAACCTACCTTTGGCATTCATGCTTTATTTAACCAGACGCTTCACACGTGAGGGCCGGGCCCTTTGAGAGGTACTGGCCTGCAGCTGCTCACTTCATCCTCCCAGCCTGCCTGTCTTGGGCTTTAAAACCTGCATCAAGACTTTGGCACTTCAGCTGAGTTATCTCTTGACCTTCAGGTTAAGGAAAGGAGCACAAAGGCTGCTGCATGGTATCCTTTCCCTTGGCTACTGTGTTTTATTTTCACTTTCCTCTAGATCACCAGAAAAGGTCCCACAAGCAGGCTGGTCCAGAGCTGGTCTGCCCTGTGGGTACGGGTGAAGAGGCGATGCCCCAAGAAGCGGTCTGGAGCTGTTGTTCATCCCAAACCATCAGCTCTCCCTGCATTAATCCTGTGGCTATATAGTTAGAAGCTTTCAATCATCTCCTCGCAGAGGACTCAGCAGTGGGAAAACACTGGGGCTTATTCCTCCCAGAGGCTGACTGTTTTGGGAGGCCCCTAACATCATACTGTTGTTGAACTGGAGTTTGATTTGTGGTCTGGAGTCTGAGCTTGTAGCCGGGCTCCTGCAGAAACCTCATGAAAGATGCATTTCACTAGGCAGTTCCAGGGGAGAGACTGGCTTAAATTACAGCTCTACAAATCCAAATATTGGCATATCTGCAAATCCAAATGTAGGGATTTAAAAAAACTAATCGAAATTCTAAGAATCTTATTTTGCACTTCTTGTGCATGAGGTGGAGGATGAGTTATTCAGAGAGGACACAGGGCTGTCAATGGTGAGAAAAGCTTCGGCAGAGCAAACCCACCCTCCTTTCCTTTCCGTGGGCATTCTTCACACTTCCAGGGAAGAAGAGCTCCCACGCGACACAGAAAGATGGCATTTGTTCAGCTCAGCTTTCTGCAGGACAGATTAGGGGGACCACCCACCCACTATGAGGGGCATAATTTATGACTGCTTTCTCCAGGCCACTTCTAAGGATTGCCATGAGCACTCACCCCACTTCAGAGGATTCTAACACAGCAGCGCCCCCCCCCCCCACCAGCAATCCTGTGGGACCCCGTAAGCCAAGCCAGGTCACTCCTCTGCTCAAAACCCTCCCATGGCTCTGCATCTCCCTTACAGAAGAGCCGAAGTCCCTAAAAGAGTCTCCAAAGCCCTGGCCTGCCTCCCCCCTTACCTCTCTGACACCCCCTCACTCATACCTCCAGATATACTGGCCCCTTGCACTTCCTTCCCCATGGCTGGCATGCTTTTCCCTCATGACCTCAACATTTGCTGTTCCTTCTGCCTGCAGCACTTCTCTCCCAGATATCTTCATGGTACATACTTAAATCATACTTTAAGTCGTAACTCTGATGTTAGCTCATAATGGGCCTTCCCTGATAACATTTCAAATGTTCTCCCATACATGCCCCTTAGCTTCTTTCCTTCTACTACTTACCACAGTTTAATATTCTATTGATTTATTCATTTATTTGTGTTTGTTCTCTCTCCCAAGTAGACTACAAGCTCTATGAAGTCAGGGATCCTTGTTTTTGAGTCCAGGGATAACTTCACTGAGGCATTCAGCTGCCCGAACACTGCTTGACACATGCTAGGCTCACTGAATTATAGCTAAATGAATAAAGGAAGGGATTCTCTCTATTCATGCTCACAACAGCTATTAATGGTACAGGATTGTTCTCAATTTACAGATGAGAAAATTAATTATAAAATGTACAAAAGGCCTATGACTGCTTTCTCCAGGCACTGTACTAGGCAATTGAGTTTCAGAGGGCATTAAGAAGTTGGATGCATGTAACACAGCGAAATTCATCAAAAAGTTATAGCTCTGCACTGTCCACCATGGCAGCCACTGATCACACATGGCTACTGACCATCCAAAATGTAGTGTCAACTGAAATATGGTGTAAATGTACAATGCACGCCAATTTTATAAGACAGCACAAAAGAAGTGAAGTGTCTTACTAATTTTTCATACTGATTACATGTTGAAATTGTAATGTAGATCTATCAGGTTAAACAAAATGTGTTATTAAAGTTAATATCTTTTCTGTTTCTTATTGCTTTTTTAAATGTGACCGCTATACAAATTGAAATTGCATACATGGCTTTCATTCGGCTGTTTCCATCACACTTTGCACATTGCTGGGGAGAAAGAAATTTCCTCTGCCCCTCAAGGTTCTATCTGGTCTAAGAATCAAACTGACATGAGACTGATCAACAGGAGAAACACCAAAGTTTAATTACATGCAAAGAAGCCATAGATATGGGTTCCAAAGACAGTTAGAGAGAATGAGGTATATGTCATCCTGAACCAAGAAGAAGAGGGCAGGGGTCAGAGACTTCAAAGGAAAAGGGAAGAAATTTGCAGGGCTAGAAAAAGAGTAAATGTTTGATAAACAGTTGCTGGACCACCCAGAAACAATGGGGAGGGGGAAGCACAGAGAGGAATTTTAACAGACTTAGCTGCATCCCTCCCTGCTACCACACCAAGTGTATGTTAGAATATAGCTGTCCACGGTGATAGCTCTGCTCCTGGAGCAGTCCCTCCATCTAAAGTCTTTTTATGCTTTTTGGGGGGTGGGAGGTGAAATTTCTGAGTCTTTTGGGCCCTGGTTTTCAGTTCAAAATAATTTCACAATGGTACATCTTGGGGCAGCCTCTATCTTCAAGTATATTATCTCCTTGGCTCTTGAGGGCAAGAGTACAGCAACCTTGTCCTTCCTGTGAGTTTAACAGCAAAGATAAGCAGAATGCACCAGCCAAGTCTCAAAAGTATTAACACACCTGTTATGTACTCTTTGTGCCCCCAAAATTCATATGCTGAAGCCTTAACTTCAAATATGATGGTATTTGGAGGTGGGACTTTTGGGGAGGTAATTAGGATTAGATGAGACGAGGGTGTTCTTCATCCCACTCCTCCCAAAGCTAGATCCTTTCCATTCCTTATGTCTCCAATCAAGTCCTCAGTGAGGGCTTTGCTAACTAGCTTGTTACCCACCTCATTCTTCCTCGGCCCATGTTTGTATCCTCCCTAACTCTTATTACAATAGTGATTGAATTTGCTTATTTGCTCATCATTGCCTGTCTCGCCAGGAGCTCAGACCTCCATGTGTCACTGTTGTGCCCCCCCATTGTCCAGTGTGGTGCTCTGCACACAATGGATGCTGAACAAATATCTATTGATATTTATAATTATAATCTATAATGATAGATATTGATCATATCTATCAGATATTTGTAAATATAGGAGTAAATGAAATAATCTTTGGATTACCCTTTTATTCTCATTTTGAGGATTAAGAGAAATATTCCTTCTAAAAGTGATTTTTGAGTTTCAAGTATGTGCTCAGGTTCAAGGTATTAAATGGAACCAGGAAGAAGCTGATGAGGTAATAATGGGTGAAGGAGGAGAAATAGAAATGAAGAAGAAAAGGAAAACATTAAGGGCCAGTGGAGAACAAATATGAAGAGAGGATTTTGTTAATGTTCACGGCATGGAGGGTTGAATGTCAGTTTGTTAAAAGAGTTTTTTGACTGGACTGCATGAGCAAAGGATGGGATGGGAAGGGAGTTCTCCCTTTCTCTAACTGGTGAGGACTTCCCTGTAGTCTAGCCCTGCCCTTGGTCCTGTTACCGGGGCTGAATGTGCCACTGCACATGGCAGTCGGCTGCTGTGCCTGGCAGGTCAGTTCCAGGAGTCCTTCTACAGCACCTACTTAATGCCATCCATCATTCTCACTTGGTATACAAAGGCACTAAAACTTGATCTTTGCCTCCTGGAGGCTCCCAGCTCTGTCACACCAACTAGCATATACCAAATAACTTAGTAGGTATTTGTAAGCATTGTTGAAATAATGGATTAATAAGCACATAGAATTAAGCCTTTGTCTTAAGAGTCCTAAAAGTAGTTAGGGATGCCAGACAGGGGTTATTTAGAGACTGAGCCAAAAGTATAGGTGTATAACCTATGGTTGCCTAGCTTTTGCCAGTTAGAATGTTACAGGTCGAGTTTGTTCTCCTCGGCTCTTGTCCTCTTGAGAGGAGAGAATCCTGGAGGGGTGGAGTGTGAATAAAATGAGAGTTCCTGTGGCCAGGATTCTCCCCTGGCCATGGCTGACTAGCTCACTGCACACCTGTGGGCAGTACATGGCTGTTGACTCTATAAAAAGAGCTCCACCCAGTGCTCTGCACGCGACATGGTGGCAGGGCTGCAAGGCTGCAGGAGAGCAGAGCAGAGGCTGGAGTGGTGGCAGCACTGAGGACAGAGGCCCAGAGGATGGCTGTGCAGGACGGCTGTGCAGAGAGGCCCAGAGGATGGCTGTGCAGGACGACTGTGTGGGCAGCTGTGCAGACAGAGGGGCCCAGAGGCAGAGACCGGCTTGCCGCATGCAGACTTGCTCTGAGTGAACGGGATTTTAGTGACTGACCTGCCACCTGGAAATAAAGTTGGGTATAACCCTTTCACTCCAAGAATGTTTTGCTGTCATTTTCTTTGATTACACTGAATGCATAGCGAACTTGCCCAGGGCTGAAACCCATTGGCAAGACATGCACATAGAAAGCCCATGGGGAGAGGTGGGGGAGCAAAACTGCAATTTTATTTTAATGAGATTATGATGAGGTGTGGTTTGGGTGGTTCTTAGTTTTATTCAATTGCACCTGCATTGTGATCTGGTTGCAACTGGTTTGGCCTGGCCCTGAAAGGTAAGGAAATAATCTCCCTACTAATCCATTGTTGTCTTCAAGTGGAACCCCTTAACTGAGTGGTTTTTTTTCTTGAAACTTATCTTCCCCTTCCCTGGCTGCTCACATCTATCTTTTTACCTAACAGGAATGGCTATAACTACTCTGTGCTTAGCTTTGATAGGGAAGGAAAAAAACATTTTGCCTACACATCTCAGGTTCATCGGCTGGGACCCTCAAATTAGACTGAAGGAAGACAAATTGACAAGAGAAAACCAAATGAATGTTTATTAACATGTGCATTGCCTGAATAACAGGAGTGTTCTGTGAGCAGTAGATCAAAGGGGCGGTTAGAACTTGGGCTTATATAGCATCTTAGCAAAGAATTAGAATTTTGTAGAGAAGAGACAAGACAAAGGAAAAGGACTTTGATCTTCTAGGGTTGGCAGATTGTGGGAAGGCAAAGACATAGGGAAACTAGTGGCAGATAAGGGTTATTTAGTAAGGTTTTTTTTAAAGTAGCCCCTTTCTCCATGCCTTTGGAGATAAGGTTGTTATCTCTTTCCAGATACCGGAAGTAGGGAAGAAGACACTTAGCAAATGAAATTTATGTTCTGTTTTCAGATATACAGTGGGAGGGCAAGGAGCTTTTCTTACATCTGCTTCTTCTCAGTTGATTTCAACTCAAAATAATCCTTGTGCCAAATGTGATATCTTTTGGGGTAGCATATTATTGCTACTCTTCACTGTGAACCTGCAAAAACATGAGGTCTTGTCTCTGAGATAGCAGGAGGAGTTATTCTGTGCCAGGTACTGTACTATTTGCAATCATTACCTGGTTAACCCTCCTCACAACCTCACAGGGCAGGTTCTTTATTTATCCTAATACCCATTTTATAGCAGGGAAATCAAAACATCAGAAGTGATTTGTCTCCATCACAGAGCTGGCCAGCCAGCCAACCAACAGGATATGGATCCAGGCAGGTCTGAATCCAAGCCTCACTGGACATGGCATCCTGGCACCCCAACCACATGTCACCAACAAAAACAGGAAGGAACATCTTGGTGAGGCAAATTCAGCCAGTAAACGTTTCTTTTTCTTCTTCCTCCTCTAAGTGGAGCATGCTTCACCCAGAAGAGCTAGCCGAAGAGTTTCAGAAAGGTTTCTTAGAATTCAGCCCATCTGTACTGATTTCAGAAACAGAACTGATGGGAGATACCCACTGGGAAAAGGAACCGGAACTTCCTATATAAACATAGCTGGCATAGGGGAAGAGGCAACCCGGGAACCCTCACTAATTTGACCAGTGTATGTATTACTGTGGGAGGGTCTGAGTCATTAGCCTTTCGGGACATGCCAACTAAAATAAATAAATTGGATTTCAGTGTGCTGTACCAAATCACTATCTCCTTGCAGGCACCTAACCACACCACCAACCTGCACAGGAAGTCTGACATTCTGGCAAGGTCAACGAAGATTTCCATGCCTGACAGGCAGATTTCTCACACCTAGTGACTGACAAATTCCTGCCCAAATTGTCTGGGACTAGATCAACATTTACTAATACAGTCCTCACCCCTCTCCCTTATGTTGTCCACCAGCCTCAGGGGTTTTTGCTGCCTGAGTCATTATGAAAATGACCTACAGGCAGAATCTACCAGCCAATAAGTAGGAACACTCCACTTTGAAGGTCTCTAGTTGACCGGATTTCTGCTTAACTGAACGTTAAGTAAAACCTGTCTTGCTTCACCCTTATTACAGGAAATCTTTCTAAACGGCATTAATTCATTCACTGGCCTTAAGTTTCTGGAGCAGAATGAAAATAAATACATTTTTGCTGATGATCAGACATCTTGCAGTGCCTTGAGGCACTATTATGCCCGGGCGGTTAGGATTAACATTTTACTGCAGTTGTAGATTTTTGTGAGAAATTGGGCTCCAACCGGTCTAAGTTGAAGAATAAATTAATTTAATTTTGTTGTGAGGAACACAGCATCCTGCTTTCCTTGTGTCAGAGTGTCAGGAGCATTTTCTCAAAATTGCTGATAGAGTCAGTGAATGTCTATATTCCTTGTAGCTATTTCTTTTTCTCCTGCTAATAATAGTTGTATCTGCTCTTTATTGATTGCTAGTGATTGTTCCAGGTGTTGTACTAAACCCTTGGCATGCTCTATATCATGTCATCCCATGTTGTCACACACACAGTGGATGGGCTTTGTTCTACAGATGACAAAAGGGGGCCTCAGCAAGGCTGAGTGACTTGGCAGAGGTTTCCAAAGTAGGAAAGGACAAAACAGAATTCATATTACTTGAGGGGTTTCATGGATGCCAAGCTCATTCCATATGCATGTGGGGCTGGATATGCAGGAATTCCCCTAAAACCATAATGAAAATGGAACCTATAGGAAATAGGAACTGGTAGGACACACACACACACACACACACACACACACACACACACACACACACACACACACCATGGTCCTATACTCCCCATACCAGTAGAGTGTAGAAGTTCAGAGAAGTGATTTTCAAACTGTGGGGAAGAACTAGGTTGTTTTGTTTATAATCTCCAACTTTTTGTGAACTGATACTTTGGTGAAATAACACAGATATAAATTATTAAAAGAATGAAGTGAAAATAATAAAATGACATACAAGCCCCATTTCTTAAATTATTGTTATTAGATTTAGTGGACATGAAATAACTGTCCAATAGTTGTAACATTTCTAGCAGCTCGCTCCCAATGTCTAGTCTTCCAACAGTTGCTGGATCACAGAGGGGCCCATATTCCAGTTTGTGGGGCTGGGTCACACTGGCTCCTGTTTCTCCAAGTGCGGTCTTTAAACCAGCAATGGCTGCCTGGGCCTTACCTGGATCTGAGTGTGTCAAAAATGCAGATCTCAGGGTGCACCTATGAGCTTCTCAATCAGAATCTGAATTTTAACCGATGTCTGATGAGTCCATGAGCCTGGAGCCTAGAAAAGGCAGCAAATAAAAGTGAACAGTCAGCCAAGTAGACTTTGCTAGAGGTTGACGTGGAATCCTACCCACAGACACAGGGCTGCTGGATCACTAACCAGGGTGGGCTAATGTGTTCTTGGGCGCTAAGATAAGGGGAAACACATTTCAGGCTGTGATGTAAGCTCCTATCTGCAGAAGTCAGGAAAGAAACCCTGCTCTGTTGTGGAATCACATGCTTGACAGATTATCCTCAAGGCTTATTTGTCAGAGAAATGACCTTCATCTAGAGGGGCCAAGTACTACAGGTGGAAGGACATGCCTGGGTACAGAGGAGGGAGACTAGTGTGTTCCTGTATAGCTGGAAGCTCAGAAAGGAGAATGACTGTGGCACCGTCTGTAGGACTATACAAAATCCTGGAGAGAAACTGGGGGAGCATCAAATAACTGCGGTCCCTGGGCATGACTGCAGAAATGGGCCAGGAAACCTGCACTCCAATATCAGCCCATGTTTGGTCTTGGACCAGCAATCATACCCACTCTGGACCTGACTCTGTTGTACCCTACCACTGTCAATGAGTAGTAGGTTTTAGCTCATGTAATCCTTAATCCCATCAAGTAATATCCCATTTACCTGCAAAGAAATTTAGACCCCAAGGAGTTACAGGTTAATCAACTGGCCTAAGATGACTGCTAATATGGCAGTCACAATATGATACCACGTTCCCTTTGATTCCAAACCCTAGACTCAATTCAACACTGCTTAGAAGGAGTTAGAGCTTGACTGTCCACCAGAAACCGGCAATTAATTATCCTAAAGTAGTGGCTGTCAAACACTGGCTGCCTCAGAATCACCACTTACTGCTGGTCTTACCCCCAGAATTTCTGAGTCTGTTTGGGCTAGGGCCTGGGAATTTGCATTTCTAACAAGTTCTCAGGTGGGGCTAATGCTTCTGGTCTGGAGAGTCTGCTGTAAGAACCACTGTAATAGAGTAAAGAGATTAGAATGGGGACTCATAAAGCCTATTTGGTAATTTTAGGGTCAAATGTGATGGGAACAGGGCAACTCTGAGCTGTTTATATTTCTTGTACTTTCCTCCTTTGTATTTTTGTTTAATGAAATATCTTTTGAAAATATCCACCTATCTCCTGTATTTTAAGGTGAAAATGGGAAATGATTATGTGTGTACACATGATCCAGAGAGAAAAGAGAAGTGCTCCTTAAGTCATGGAAGGCAGAGGCACTACAGGGCTCCCCAAGGGAAAGGCTAGATCACTTTTCTGGTTACAAGTGACAGAAATCTAATTTGAGTCATTTCTCTTAAGATTGTGTTTGGTTGTGTGTAACAGAAGCCCGCTTTAAACAGGTGTCTTGGAACCAAGTTTCTGTTTTTCTTGTACTACAACAACACTTCTGATTCTGGAGTTTGATTATCACTAGAACTTGAGTAGCTCAGTAATATCACGTCTGGCATTTCTGTGGTTCTTTTGTTGTTGTTTCTACTCATAGTCTCAAAAAAGCTGCTGTGGCTCCAGTCATCACATCTGTGTTCTAGTAGGAAGATGGAAAGTGGAAGGGGTATGGCCCACTTCACCAATTGCTATATTCTTCTTTAAGGCTTCAACTATGTCATATAACTACATGTAGCTGCAAAAGAAATGGATAGAGTATTTAGGGGAAGCACATTGCCTTCCTACATAAAATCAGGATTTTGTAGTCAAGGGAGGAGTGATGATATTAGAAACACATTAACAATCTTGCAGAGCAGATTGGGCAAAATGGGGAAGATAGTATCTCTCTGAGAAAGGCCAAGAATGGGGTGACTTCAAGAATGTTACAAGTTAGCTTTTGCTACATAACAAGTCACTCCAAAACTTAGTGACTATTTAAGTTTTAAACAAACATCTATTTGTTTATAAATCTGTAGATTGTCAACTCATCTGGGAGAGTCATTCTGTGCCATGCAGTTTCATCTGGGCTTAGTGTTAATCTGTGACCTTAGGCAAATGGCCAGGGTAGCTGGGGTGGTTGAAACACCTGGGCTCTTATTTCTACTTGGTTTCTGGTCCTACTGTCACCTTCACATAGTGGCAGAAAGGTCTCAGAAGGCTGCAAGTTATTTATTGTTGAGCAACAGACCGCTCTAAAACATTTAATTTGCTCATAACTCTGTGAACCGTCATTTTAGAACTGGGCTCAGCTAGATGGTTCTTCTACTGATCTCTGGTGTCTCTCATGAGGCATAACAGGGCTGAATGATCTGTGATGATCTTCTCATGTCTGGCAAATGGTGCTGGCTATTGGCTAGGCTACTTGTCTCCAGCAAGCTAGCCTGGGCTTCTTCACATGGTGACTAAGTTCTAACAGCGCCAAGAGAAAGGGAAGGTCCCACCACATGAGTGCTTTTCAAGCCTCTGCTTGCATCATATTTGCTGGTGTCCCACCAGCCAAAGCAAATCATGTGGCCAAGACCTGAATCAGAGTGGAAGGGACTGTGCCATGGTCTGTATACAAGAAGACATGAGTTCTAGGACCCATTACTGTAATAATCCACCATATATACCTTAAACCAAGAACCTGAACATCCATAGGGTTCTCCCTATCATGTCTTTGCTTTTCTCTGCGTGTCACCTTCGTCCTTAGATAAGTGGCTTCCCCTGAGGTTGGAACCACAGCTGACTCAGCTCCAGGAATCACTTTCTCATTTTCCCACCAAAGGGAAAGAGTCTTTTCCTCTTTAGTTCTATTCTGAATGCCACTGGGAAGAACTCTGGTTTGCAGTGAATGAGATTCTTACCTGACCTAAGTGACTGGGACACTATTACTGCCAATTCTGACTAGAAATTTAAATTTGAACAGGGGTTGCAGAAGGAGGAATTTTGAAAAACACCACCCTAAAAATGAAGTTGTATCTCTTCTGGAATAATGGAGATATATTGGCCAGAAAAGACAAACACAAGTATCTAAACAGACAGCTTTAGAGACCATTTAAACAGAAAACCTCACAGAACTCCTTTTTTGGGGGATGTTTCTTATTTATTTGTTTTGCTAGTTGGTTGAGGGGATCTGGTTTCAATAAAAATTTAAGCTAAGTTTAAATTCAGTTTCTATTGTTTTCCAAAACATTACCTTATTAGAACAATCTTCACATTTCCCTTATTTTCTTTGAAAAAATGCAGACTAGCATCCACTGCTGGCCCAATGGGAAGGTTTCTAACGGGGTGTTCTTTGTGGCAAATATACAATAGTAATTACATTATCTTGTCACTCATTTACCCCTGAGATTTGCTGGGGAAACAACACAGGAAGGCAAAAGAGAGAGACCTGAGTCCTTAATTGGCACATCAGTCACATCAATGAGGGGCTATTTTTCCCTCAGTCCCATTAGGAATTTAAGAGATGCTAAGGACGTTCCACATTGTGATCTGCGAATAGATGGAATCTTTGGCAGATGGAGATTGCAGGGATTGCGTCTGTTATGCATGGCCTCTAATGAGGGTTCCCAGCCTCAGCCGGGTGTAAGGGCCCACTCTTGTTTTTCTTAGTTAGAGTGAGGGAAAGTGGAGAGGCAGCCACTGAACGTGCCTCTGAGTGTAGGAATGCTGGCCTTTGGGGAATGCAATCCAGTTCCCACAAACAGCCGAGATTCCTGAAAGGCTTTGGCGCAGGTGCTGCTGGGCAGCCATGGCGATGCCGTTCGTCAGCCTGCCTGCTGCTGGAGAGAGTGAGTCTGTCCCCTTTCCCAGGGGCCTCACCTGGTGCAGCTGCAGCGTGTTTCAGAAGCTCTCCCTCGATGCAGGCACGGCTCCGAAGCGCACTGTCCGTGGGTGGAAGGGCTCTGAGCTGCCTCGGTGCCCTGCAGATTCCACAGGCTCTCCTTCCGCCCAGCATTTGCCAGTAATCGTGGTGTCGCCACTCTCAGTTAACAGGTTCTGGGGTGCGACAAGGGATTGCGTTCTCTCCTGGATTCTTCACTGGCACTCGGGTGCCTTCACAGGAGCACACTAAGGAGTCTTGGCTGTGACTTAGGAATATGAAAAGTCTGGCCTCACATATCCCCAGTTCAAAGTCCATGTTGCCTCCCTCCTCCCGCTACTCTTCGCCTTCCCCACACACTCTCTGCTCCTGGACGGAGCTTAATGGGGCAGGATTGGGCCCAAACTCAGCCAATGCCATGGAAAGACCAAAGTGAGAAGAGCAAAGTTTAAATCAGGCCCGTTGTCCTAAGGTCTGGGAGGAGCCACCTGGAGACCACTTGCCTTTCTAACGCACTGCGGGCCTGAGGGGGGTTTCAGGGTTAGGCTTTACAGAGCCAGAAGCCAGTTCAGAGTCTTCAGGGCACACTTCTGGTAGGGGATGGGGTGGGGGTGAGGCCTGAGGGGTGAGCACGGCAAGGGAAGGTTTCAAATAACTGCCTAGAGCAATGTGGATTTTTCCACAGTGGTGTCCCCGGGACCCAGGAGAAGAAAAGTGAGCTATGCGGGGTGTTTGTGGGTGTACAGTGGAGGGGGCCCCCACCCCCTCTTCAGCCAGAGTCCTCTATTCTTATATTTTATATATTGAATGATCAGCTAGAATACAGATTTCTTTTTAATTAGTAGATTTCACTTTTTAGGACTATTTTAGATTTACAGAAACATTGAGCAGAAATTAGAGTTCCCATTATACCCTGATTCTCCAGCCTCCCAGCTTATTTCTTCTATTATTAACATCTTGCATTAGTGTGCTACATTTGTTACAGTTGATGAACCAATATTGATATATTAATATTACTTAAAGACTATAGTTTATGTTAGGGTTCACTTTTTGTTGTACATTCTATAGGTTTTGACAAACTCATAATGTGATGTATCCACCATTACAGTGTTGTACAGAATAGTTTCACTGTCTTAAAAATGTGCTGTGCTCCACCTGTTCGTCCCTCCCCTGAACTGGAAGCCACTGAGCTCTTTGGTGTGTCCATAGTTTTGCCTTTTCCAGAATGTCATATAGTTGCAATCAGACGACGTGTAGACCTTTCAGACTGGCTTCTTTTACTCAGCAATATTCTTTTTGTCTTTTTATGGCTTTTAATGGCTTGATAGTTCATTTCTTTTTACCATTGAATGATACTCCATTATATGGATGCACCACCATTTATTGGATATACATTTTTAAAAGATGTTTTCTATAGAAAGTCTGTTTTAAAAACACTGGTTTAGAGTCTACAGCTTTCTTTTATGATGCTGGCTAGGTCACCTGCAGGGATAGTATCCATGAAAACAGTTGGAGGGTGGGTGAGAGTGATTGGTTCATAGAAAAAACGCAATTCCTACATGTACACACAAGATGGTATTTAAAATGGTGGGAACTAGGGGAAGAACATTCGGACCAAGAATGAGAAGATGTGGTCCAAAGTGAGTTGAGCATAGAGTGAAGATCTGCTTATCCATTGACTCATGCATTTGGCACTAATTTACTGAACACTTAATTGGAAGACATTATGTTTGGCACTGGGAATAGAATAATGGACAAAATAGATGCAATTCCAACTGATGGAAATTGCAGGAAAGTCAGGCACATATCAAAGAGGCCACCCCAATAAATACACAAACAGAGTGAAGTGCTCTGTATCAAGACAATGTGAATGCTATTGAGGGTCAGGGAAAGATTCCCACGGGGGAGGGCGCTTGACCTGAGATCTCAGGGACAACTAGGAGTTGACTGGGATGAGGGAAGAGGCTGCTGCTCTTGCGACCAGCTGAACCAGATCTTTCTTCCCAGACGTTTTAATTCCATTGTCCTCTCCTCAGGGCATCTCTGTGACAGAAAGGCAGCTCTTTTGGAATGATTGTGGGCATAACCCTCTGACAGTAACCCAGGGACGTGACCAGGTAGCTTGAAGCCATGCAGGCAGGCAAGGGATAATGAAGCTTTATTTCTTTCTTCCTGCATCCTTCATTTTTCCTACAACACATGTTTTGAGTGGACATGATGTTCCAAGCATGGGAGGTATAAAATTAAGTGAAATATGGTGTCTGCTTTTGTGGATGAGGCTGATGACTCAACGTATAATTGCATAACACACTCTGACAGCAGCGCTTGCGGGGTGTTCTGAGGGCACTGAGGTCTGTTCATCCTGCAGTATATACTGAGGCTTGCTGTGTGCCAGGCATTGCACAGTGCCAGGGGTGTGGAGATGAAATAGGAGCATGGCCTACCCACCAGGACCACACTGCCCAGTGCAGGGGATGACCTGTACATGCAATTCAGTAAAGTGGGTGCCAAGACAGAGACAAGAGGTAACAGAACAACTTGGAAGAAGGCATTGTTGAGAGTTCTTGCTTAATTTTTTTGTTTTGCTCTAGGCAGAAGAAGAAGATTTCTTCCTAATTTTATAGTAAAATCATTTGTGGGAACATATATATGTAAATATTTTAGCTAAAAAATTCTCTCTGATTAATCTGAGGCCTGAGATGATAAATTCCTCATTCTGCAGAGGGAACCTCAGTGTTGAAAATCTTGGACTAAATAAAGATCATTCAGCTTCTTGATGTGAATAACAGAAACCAGCATGCGGAGGTCAGTCCTGTTCAGATGCAAGGGGCATCCTTAGTTCCTGCCATGAATTCTGGGGTCTAGTGAATGAATTAGAAGTTCGGGGCCAAAAGTAGCCATGATTTTCTTTTTGCGTTAAAGAATCAACCAGTGCCTATCCTAGTTTGTTTGGTTGTTTAAAATGAGGCTTTGTGCCATGGGGAGCCCTTCTTGGTTTATCCAGAGCAATTGGAGAAAGGCTGAAGGGGCTCTGGAATGCGATTCCCAATCAGGGTTTGAATGGGTGAGCTCTGACAGCCCCTTCCACTCTCTCAGCAGGTATTTACTGCCCCAGTATCATAGGGTGACTCCAGAATAAGAGGACAGCAGGCTCATTGTATATATCTGTCTTTTATCCCAGTTTCATCTGTGTAAGCTCTCTGCCTGATAAAGAGGTTGAGAGGTGTGCACACGGCCTGCTCTGTGGAGTTCTGCCCACTGCACCCTCCGGTGAGGGACAGTTGCTCAAGGTCGCACCTCCCAGGATTCTGCATTTGCCTGCATTGTTCAGAGCTGTTTATTCCTGTTCCAGTACAGCAGTTGGGAGCATGGACTTTGGATTTAGCCAGATCTGAAATTCATTTTGAAATTCATTTCTGCCGCTGACTAGCTGTGGGACTTTGGACACACAGCTTTACCTCTCTGAGATCTAAAACCTGCCTGTAAAACGGGCATGATAATGGTACCAGCGTAGCACAATCCCAATAGGAAACAGATTTGGCACTCAGGTAAGTATCATCCCGACAGGGCTTATTTACAAAAGGAGAAATGATAAATGTGTGGAAATGGTTTAGGAAACCACACAAGATAGTGAGGTAAGCCAGCCAGCAGTACAGAGCTGTGACTACCCCTTAGCCACTAGGAGAGAGGGGAGAGACAAATGACAGGAACCCAAGGGGGAAGAGGGGCTGAGAAAAACCCCTTTTTGAGAAGGGGGTTATTTGGATCAAATAAAGGAAGTTGTCCATACAAAAGACTGTGGGTGCTCAATGAATGACTCTTTCAAAAGCTATTTTATTATTTTAAAAATTAAACTGAATTTTATCTTATTTTATATTTTTAAATACCCACAAATGCACCAGTAATAGGGAACTAGGGATAGTTCACAAAGATTCTCTAATTTACTTAGTACTAAGTCAGTATCAATAAAAAAAAAAATTTCCCAGTTCTCCTATATTCAGGTGCAATGGGTTGACACAACTTCTCTGAAAATGTCCTTCAGGTGCCAACCGCTCTTTCCCTTGCTCTAACTGTTCTTCCATCTGGTGCTTTTCACACCCCTGTCACAGCAACTCCTCCTTCTAATTTCCATGGGTCTGTCCCTCCCTAGATTCGTGCACACTCTCCAGAATGCTCTGAGATGTCTAATCTCCAGTGGCTCTGCTCAGGTGGCCCTCTCTAGCAGGTAGCACTTGAGATTGAATTCCAGCAAACACTCACAGGGAGTGCCTGGATTCCAGACACTGTGCTGCTATGCTTCCTACCTGCTGTCTCGCTGAATCCCCTCATCTGCCTCCGGAGCATTGTTATCTGACTCTATGGATGAAGAAACCAAGGCACCAAACGTTTAGGCATTTTTATCTAAGGTCTCAAAGTTCCAGGTGGAAGAATCAGAGTTCAAATTCGGTCTGGCTCCAGGGCCACTGTTCGCCTCTACTAGCTGTGTTGGCATCGCCAGCTCTGAATTTAACACCTGCCCCATTGTATGCATTCAGGAACTGTTTATTGAATTAATTGGAATAAATACCCACAGCTGTACTTAGAAAGTGTTAACTTCATGGACCCTATACCCTTACTGGAGGAACTGCTGAGGTAATGAATTTGCTTCCAGAGGCATAGGAGAAAGCCACATCCAACATTTAAAAATCTTCCTGCTCTTACATAAACAACACTTTATATAGGATTCTTTTTGCCTGCAGACAATGACCTACCATGCTATAAACACACACAACCACATGCAAACTACACACACCACACACTTCCTTTTCCTAGGTAAAAAGCAGGGATAGCTTGGGGAGTAAGATTCCAAGACCTTTCTCTGTGTCCTTGAAAGGAAAGTCCTACAACTCACATTTAGAATGTTGTCTTTAGAGGGAGGCAGCTCATGGTTGCACAGAGGCTAAAATAAATGTTATCAAGGTCATTGGACTTGACTGCAGTTTGACCCCCAGGTCACTGAGAGGCCAGAGCAGAATAAGGGAAGGAATGTTGACCCCTAAGCCCCTGGGTGTGCTCTCCTCCCTATACCGGCCTCTCCTTCTAGAGCTGTGACAGTCTGTACCAGCTCCTAGCAGCACAGCCTGGCGTCTCCCCAAAGGAAGGGCACCGATCCCCCTCCCGGAAGGAGAGGGCAGGCACCTCCCTGGCACTCATTCCTCTTTGCCCACACAGCCCAGCTGCCACTCATACAAAA